TTCGCAAGTAGAAAAGCTCGTTGTACGTTCGTTTGTATGCAAAGTGCCACACACTCGTCATCAATTGTAACAGAAAGATACCGCGCACTTTAAATCGTCCTATGGATATTCCCCTTCCATTTATGCATATACAGCGAATAGAAAAATACCTGCCTACTTGCCAGCTTCTTTTTATTTCTCTTACAAAAATACATCACAATTATGTCGTAATTCCTTGATTATTCTACGTAATCATCCAACACATTGTAATAGCCACACACACAGTCGTAACCATTTGTAGGAAGGTATCCTAGAAAAATAATCGAGTATTCTCATACGGGAAATCGGGGCCATCAGATTAAACGCTTCGCGATATTTCAGTTAGATATCCGCGATATCTTGGCAAAAACTCTCGGGCTGATGCACAACTATTGATCGACCTTGGTACTCCTTTGCCATTCTTGCGAACTCCGGCACGTTTCGCCGGACTTTGCGACACATCCGCAAATCGTACGTTCCCGAAATAGGGACAACCTTCTTCCTGGCCCCATTCCAAAGTCCTTTTATCACAGATCGTAATGCAGGTACAAACGACGACACCCCAGAAAACATTCAACACCCTCGTTTTCCAACCCACCCCCCTCCCTCGACAACTAGTATTTGGCCGGGTCGTTGTTGTTGGCCAGGTACTCCCTAATTTCCTCTATCACGTCTGTAATGCGCGTCTGATACAACTTCTTACTGCGACATTGGCTCTTCACGAGATCGCACCTTTCGTCGCCGTACAGAACGTACTCCAGTTGATCGGTAGATCCTATGAAATACTGTTCCACCGCTGACTTCGTCAACAGCATTATCTGCATATTAGCCACAGAATACGCCAACGATACACCTTTCACGTCGTCGCAAGAAGCGACAAATTGCTCACGCGGCAGACACTCCTCGACGTCGAGACTCGACGCGGCCAGTTCTTTCTTCATGGTTTCGTAGTAAACATCCACGAGTCGATCGTAAAGCGTACGTCTGGTGGCACGATCGGTGACCAATAGAAGACAAATCACGAAATCGATCGCCGGTGGACTGTATCGTAAGAATTGGAAGTCCACCAGGTAGCAACTGACCGGTTTACCAGCCGAGTCTCTCTTGATCATGATATTGTTCGGCCATATATCCCGATGGCACATCACGTTTCTGTATTTGCTCGACGACACCAATAGAGAGGGCAACTTCGGTATCCACGTGGTCATCCAATTCTTCATCGCAGTAGCTTCGTCTTCCTTCAAACCCTCGACCAGATCGACCATGGTGCATGCACCTTTGACGCACGAAGAGAGATATTTCATGACGACCACATCGCCCGCGACGAAAGCCACTTCTTCCAGCACGTGCCCGTAAAGATCGAGGATCGTTTGACCGGTGCTCCGGCGGAGCTTCTCGTCCAGAATCAAGGACCTCGAGTGGAAGGTCGAAATCGCTTTTACCACCGAAACGCAATGCTCCTCGTCGAACGCGAGATACTTGTCCGGTGTAACGTAACCCTCTTGCCTAGCGTCCTCGAGAACCATTATAACGTTGCTCTTGCTGAGATAATAATCAGGTATCCACTTGATGCCGGTTCCCATGCCTATGGTGGGCACAATTTCGCTGTAGACGATGATCTCTTTGTTGAACGTGTTGTAACGCACGAGGAAATCGTATTGCGGGCTGCTCGTCGGCGGCGGTGTTTTCGCGAAGAACGACAAATGCTTCGATTTGTTGTCGATTTTCACAGTCACGGAGAGGGTGTAGTACTGGCCCAAGTAGCCGTTCGTCTCCCCGAAGCTGTCCAAACTCCAATGCAAAATGCAGAAGTTCTTCGAGCGAAATTTCCGCTCGACGATCTTATTCACGTCGGAATCGTGGAGAAGCGCCGCGGTTGACTTCTCGTTCGCGGACAAGACCTGCGACTTGGTCGAGTCGGTCAAACAACACGCCGGATCCGCGCTGATCGTCGCCATATTGAGAATATTCAGGGTTGAGCTAGCCACAGCGAGGAAATACCAAATTTATATACGATCCTGACCACGTTGTACCGGCGCGATCGTAAATAAGCATCTGAACATGTTTGAAGGAACAACTGGGAAATGACTCGTGGGCAAATACGGCGCACAATATCGGGCGATACGCGAACAGTAACCAGACGAAGAATTTAGCTGCGTGAAACTTGCGTGTAAACGAGTTCGATAGACAAACATCCCGGTTTTAATAATTTATGCAACCCGTAAATCTGTCCGACACAAATTCTCGATGTGACGAGAAGACGATCTAGGTGATTTATGCCGTTTTACGAAAGAAATGAGACCGCGATAGCGCGTGTTTTCTGAGAAAATTTACCGAGACCCTGGGGAGATCCTAAATTCTAAACTTTGGGGAAATTCGAGGAACTTGGAAAATTTTGAAGTCGAAAAGTAGGAGATTTGTGGAGCAAATTTTTCCAAGGTCGACGATTTCATTTAGTAGAATTTTCCAGAGTTTTCTATGCGTAGATGATACACCGATTCGTTTAGTCGCGATAGTGTAAGACTTAAGTCGTGTGACATTCGAGCAAATATTGGGAAAATACTTTTCTGAAGGCAATTAAAGTGTAATTCAATGTTTCAGATGGAAGACAGCTTGGCTTGACATTATCGCTAGTCTTCTTCGTATAAAACATCGGATATCTTGACAAAATTTTTGTTTTTTGACGCAACGAAGATTTTTCGAGGTACTTGTAGAAGCTGAAGCAACATAGTGGTGGGAAACAGTGATAAATTGCTTTGAAACGATTATGAAAGTACGGTTTTAGAATGAAGGATAGGAAGAATACTGTCTTTTAATCGTCGTGTAAATAAAACAATTTTACGTTCGTTTTGTCGAATGCTGTCGTCACAATGGAATACAGTTTTTCTGATCTTTTTCACGGATTTCAACGAAACGCATTGAAAAGCGCAATTTATGAATCGTATATCATACAAATATTGACAATCAGTATGTGCAGCTGCAGTTTGTAAATATTTATGCATTTATTAGTACATGAAACACATTTCCAGTAAATCAAAGCTTTTCGCGCAGTTTCGTCGTTTTTCTTTCGGTCTGTCTGTTGGACGTTTCTACTTACTGATCTTGCAGTATTGAAATTCTTTATGTATTTTTCTCTCGTTGTTGATCTACGTGATTGTAAATATTACTTTTTTGCAATATTAAAAAAATTACAAACATTCAGTTGAAGATAAGAAACAATAAAAAAATTGATCGGACTGTAGAAATTAGTACAGTTTTCTGAAATATAGTAAATATCAGAGTAAGCTTCCAATTTTTGCCTAAATAAAGCGTTTGTTATTAACTATAATTGTTAGCATCATCGTCGAATATTAAGAAATAAAAATATTTCTCAAAAGAAGTAATTTATGGCAATCCAAAATTTGCACACTATCAGCAAATAAAAAATCTTTAGGAACATCGAATTGAATTATTAATAATTTTGAAATTTACATCGATGGAAAATGAATGTCAAAGATTTATTGCACAAAAATGGAAAAAATTTATTATTTTCACTTTAATCTATCCTTTCTATTTTTCGCGTAAACATCACGCAGTGCATGTGAAAGTACTTAATAAATTCAATGTGAAAAAGTGAGAAAACTGAAACAAATATATATAAATCCGTGACACATTGAAGCACTAAAAGACGAAAGAAGATGCACAATATTGAACAAGCCTTTCATATGTGTTTTATTTATTCTCCGATAAAGGCATACATGTACGTTTCCGAATCTTGAGAAACATAACTGACGAAGTGGAAATTCATGAGAGTGTTGTCATATTTTTTTTTTATTCTTTAGGAATTAAATATTTAGCGATACAATATCGTAACAGGGAAAAATTGAATGGCATATTGTCGATTGATTTGAAGTATCGAAAATTAATCGCTAAAATTGTTTCATTCCAAAAAATATGAAATATGAATTTTGAATGCAAATTAATAATTAGATATTATCTATTTTTAACAAATGTTTCTGTTAATTTCCGTTACATGCTCAATTGTTTTGTGTCGTGAATAATATCATTTATTATGATATGTAAAATAGTTAGAGGTTTAACTCAAAGTCACGTTTTCACTTGAAACTTTCACGTGGATAAAAACCATAACAGCAGCTGATTTCTTTTGGGAATTCTGATCCTTGAGGGATTAATATTGGATACGTTTCTAGCGTACGAATATGTGAATCGTAAAAAACGGTGCACAGAACTACGTAGTGTAATAAAATTGAACATATACATTGAACAAGATGCATATTTAACTTTGACGGTAGGTACACAAGTTGCAGAAAAATGATTTATGCTCGCTATTACGACGCTATTTAGATGGATGAAACTACGAAAAACCGCGAAACTTTGCAAATCAATTTATCATTTCTGTTCGATATCGTAAACTAAAATTTTCCAACGGTATTATTTTAGTACAGATACTCTATTAGCCGAAAATGAATATTTCATTTCCAGAAATGGAATAAAAACATATTTGGAAAATTTAATTTCTAAAAATGAAAGGATAATCCTTTTTTTCGTTTCATATGAAATTGTTATTCAAAATTATATTTTTAGTCAGTTTTCACTAAAGAAAGAAATGTTTTCACCACTTTTCAGTGGTGAAAAGTTGCATTCTCGTATATTGAAAATTTAAGGCTGTAGAGTAACTGTTTTTTTTTTCTTCTACTATACCGAGTACGAGCTGCGTACTCGCTAGACCCCCTGCGGCCTCAGGTAGCAGACAGCGGCTCGTGCGCCCCCAAACCTGCGAAAAGGCTTGACCCACCCTGATTGGTCGAGTCTAGCCTTCCTAAAACATATAAAAGACGGCTTTTCACCATAGAAAATCAGTTCTTGCGGGAAGCCGACTAAGACTACTCTAGCATACACCGAGCAGACGTCTCCTTCGCGGATTACAGACGACACTCCTTGTTTTTGCAACAGTCAGTACGGAGCGAACGAAGACTCCAGGACCAGGTTTCCTGTCCTGTCTCTACCCTCGCCATCCTTACCTATCCACCTCCTAGAGGCAGACAGACGCTCCTTCGCGGATCATAGCGACACCTCTAGGTTGACTCCAATTCTCCAAGATACCTTCCCCGAGACAACAGACGTCTCCTTCGCGGGTTACAGACGATAGTTTCTCTTCCCCTCTCTCTCACTCTTACCTATTCCACCTACCACCCTCTCCCCTCCTTTGGGAGATCTGGCCAAGTCAAATTTGACTCACGTCAAATTTGCGCGTTCTCACCAACCGTCTTCGAGGCATAATCGCTTTCGATTTAGCTGTAATTCGACCTCACAACCACAAAGTGAGATTTAAATAAATTTCACACTACAAGGCACAATTTGTACGTTATTATGCCAATAAATCCAGTTTGTTAAGCAGCTCTCATGTTGGAACTTATCTTTATGACACACATTCTTACATAAGTTTCTATTTTCTGTAAGCTTTGCGATTTCATGTGAAACCGAATATTTCGATAGTGCAAAATGCATTTGTAATCTGTGAAACTGACTATGAAATCACAATGAGTTGTTAAAATTATATTTGTATGCTAAAATAAATGTTACTTTTGTATTTAAAACTTACCAAATTTTCGTATCAAAATAAATGTTATTTTATTATTGGTGAGAACCGTAATAATAATTTATTCACTGATATTATGAACTAATTAAAAAATGTTGAATTTAAAAAATGACTGAAATATCAGATTCTCTACATCTAAAATCAAATTTTTTTGACACGTTCTACATTTTTATTCATTATCACCGGCGTACAAAGGAACGGACAAATACCTTTTGGAGAGATGTGCACGAAACGTGCGTGAACACCTGGAAAAGAACAAAAAAGGGGAAAAAACAGAATGTGTCTTTCAATCAAGCGACCTAATTAAATACCGCCACAATATAGCGGCAAGCGCTGTTTTATTTGTATTCGAGATATTCAAGGGAATTTAATTGAGCACCATATGGAGGCACTCGAGGTTATTAAAAAGGCAATATTCACATTTCAAAACAATTTGCTCGTATATTGAACTCATTCGTTAGTGCAACGAACAGCAGAATTGTTACACGTGTCCTATTTAAAATGGTCAAATAAAAACTACAAAGCCTACGCACCAGTATTAGTAAACCCTTAAATTTTAAACAGTTTCTTAACCAATTAAAACAAGGAGAAGAAATTCGTAACAAGTATCGAACATATTGTTCCTTTTCTTCCTATTGAAATTAGGTTAGTGCAAATGAAATGTCGTTTTTTAAACAGCTGAAATTGACATGTCAATACCATGAATTAATATTTAAAAAATAATTAAGAAATTTAGTGCAAAATTCTTAAATTCTTCAAAATTCATAAGAAATTCTTCAAACTTCCATTTTTTGTGACACGTTTCATTGCAAGATATATTTCTAATTCAACCCTTTCGTAATCAGGACATAAATGCTTCGTTTGAATACTCGAACAGAAATGAACCTGAAAAGTTTGTAATGACTTTTAGACGTTATAGAATTTTCCTAAATTCCAAAAAAAAAGTAATTCAGTCACGAAAGGGTTAAATTTTTCAAGCTACGAATATTCCTACTTTAATCTCTCACCTTTATTACACCATATGTACACATATTAGACGCTAATCTTCGCTGTAAAAAAAAGAGAAAAAACGACGTTCCATATGCGCCCTAATAAAATTCAATTTCCCAAAGAACCAATCACCTGAATTTCCAGCAAGTAGAACGTAGTTACTGTAAGACGAGCAAGAGGAAGAAGCATAAAGCGAAGAGCGCAACGAACGTGTAATCCTGATCAAGTGAAACAGAAGAAGGAAGACAAAGAAGAAGAAGAAGAAGAAGACACGAAGCAGAGAGACAGAGAGAGAAAGAAAGAGTTGAAGCGTTCAAATCCACGGGGTGCTATAAAACAATTCCAAAGAAACTTCTCGAGGCCCTCGTAGCCGCTAAAATTTATTTGCGCCCACCAAGAACGCATCTAACTTCTTGGAAGAGGAACGTATTAATGAGGTCACACTCTAGATACCCCCTTTCGGCTTCGTTACTTTGGCTCTACCAAAGGTAATTTGATTAACTGCGTTCCGGAGCTACGAAGGGTGGCGAACTTACTAATATTGCTCGATGTACTATGGGC